CACTTTTAAGATTATCATTCACCCTAGCAGACTTGCTCTCTTCAACCATTGACCAAAGCTTCAGCAATGCATTCTCCATTGTTGGGGGCCACTGCTCATCAACCCACTGAACAAACCCACAATTCTGACCTTCCTGGAAAAATAACAAGGAAAATTTTAGTACAATACAACTACTATGAGTAGTAAGCAACAGTTAGTTCATGCCAGTAGCTAATGTTGGTACTGACCAACACTGAATTTGCACAGCCATGTGCTAAGCAAGAGGGTGACCAGTATATAATTAGCAGAGTAACACTCCATTCAACTTTGCATAATAACCAACTTACAATTGGCCATTAATATAATGGAATCCTACAATCTGCACTACCACTCTAGCAGTGAACTACTTTGCCATATATCACTAACAAATGGAACATAGAAATCACTGAATGAAGAGTTATCAAACCAGACTACATTAGCCTAGCTAAATACACTACATTAGCCTCCAGGAACAAACTAGCTAATGACAGTACCTACTGTCAGCAGTAAGCAACAGTTACTTATTAAGAGTCACACATCAACTAATGGAGGGGCTAATGTGAATACTAAGCAACATTGCATACAAGCATAAATAAATAGCATGTGCACACAACAGAGCATGCTTGAGCCTATATTTAGCCTAAATGCACTCCACTGACCATAATATTCACCATTCCTAGAATGAGCACTACAGTATAGCATATATGACTAACAAAATTACCATACACATAACTGAATCACAATTGGCAAACAAGACTCTGTCACTTCCAATGAACATATCCTGTGCATAATCAATAAGGCAAGAAAAATACCAGCTCTGCACATGCTAAGAACCTTCTCCCAGTCATTGTTCCTTCAAATGCAACAAGCCTCTCTGATGGCTTCCCATGCTTCTCGCACAACACTATCAGATCTAGCTCAAGACCCTTGTAATCCGGGTCCTCAAGAGAGAAAGGCACCTGCCCAAGCAAAATCCAAGTTAGCATCATGTGCAGAGGACGAGGACAAAGCAAATCAAACGAAATCCTCACACCAAAGACCACCTACACAGAAAAATCCCCAAATTTTTCTAAACCTAGCCCTAACCCTAGCTCCAATGGAGTAACTGACCTGGTTGAGCCCATCGGTGGAGGTTTCGGAGTGCATGTACGGGAGGCTTGAGTTGTCGTCGCTGCTCTTATCTTCAAAAACCATGGCTGCGGCAGCGTCGTGTGGTGGCCGGCGGGGGCGGGCGCAGGCGGCGGCGAGGAAGAGAGAAGGAAGAACGTAGAGCAGAGCGGGGGGAATGAGCGGGGTGTGGCTCGACCGCACCAGCCGCGCCCTAAACGGTTGGACCCGGGCTCGTCCGAGTCAGTGCGCAGGCACGCGCGCACTGGCTAGCGTGGCGCCTGACGGGCGGGCTCAACCGGTCAGCTTTTCTGTCAATACGTATAAAACACACTTTTAGTCTTTTTTGCAACGGCTCGCCCCAATCTTGGTACTGACACGTAAAAATTACCAATCTTGGTACTAATCTGCTTCCAATGCCTCAATTGTGGTACTTCTATGTAATTTACTCTTCAAACGTCAGCAAACCATGACCGGTCACCCCTCATTTTGAGGCCTGTAACGTCCATGAACCGTGATCGGCCACCCTTTATTTTAAACTTCAAATGTTCGAGAACCATAACCGGTCACCCCTCATTTTGCTGCCTCTATAAGCGTCTCCCTCATATCCATGCAACTCGCGATCTAAAACATGAAACTTTGTATATCAACACATTAGCAACAAAAGTACATAATTCGGACATCAATCACATAGTAACAGTCATAGGTAGGGCAACCAAAAGAACAAGTGTTCATCGCCGGTGCGGTTATACTTCTCCGTGTAGGCGTCGACGGCCAGAGGGGCTTAGCCGTCGGATCCGCCACCAAACGGTTTGCGGCTGGAGCTCGACAGTCCATGGTGTGCGGCTGGGTCCTACATATACCCGCCCCAGATTTGAGCTGCGTTTGTAAGGTGCCGGTAAGTCCACACGTGAGCGACCGGCTTGGGAAGCCAACTTTTTTTTTATGACCAGACACTGACCGGACCGTCCACAGTTTGTGGAGCCCGGCAGCAGCAGCGGTCCACACCCCGCGCTGTAGCGCCGCTCCCTCCCTCCTCACCCCGCGCTAGACCGGCAGCAGCAACGCAGACGGACTCAACCGCCTGCTCGACCACCAAGGGCTCCACCCCAGGCGACAACGGTAATATGCTCAGAAGGTAACCCCCAAATCGCCCCCATCTACAGTATGTTCTACTTATATGTACGTATGCTCAAGTTTGTCTCCCTGAATTTTCTCTGAAATCTGAACGCAAGTGGTAACAGCGGTTACTAATTTCTAGGGTCGCGGTGATTCAGTCGTTCCAGCAGGCCCCTGTTTTCAGTTCAATATAATGGTCAGTTAATGAATGGAATTGATTTTCATATCAACAGTTCTGTGTCTACAGTACTTTTTCATTGACGCCAACAAACTGAGACATGGAAAGACGTACTCATCTACCTGAGTATGCCTGACTCTCGTACCATTCTGAATTTGTACACCAGCAGTTGATATGGGTGTTGAAAAACGGACAATATAGTCCTGGTTTGGCAAGGATCAACAACCAAGCTTGTCCCAGTTGGATGCTCAGTTCAGGATGCCAGATGCTCTGTAGGATTCGACGCTGTCCCCCAGGGTCTTCTCTACAGGCCTCAAGGCAGGTCCACCCTAGCTTCTGAAGTTTCTCTGAACTATAAACAAGATTTTATTCCACCTCCGTATCCATGTAATTTGGAGAGAAATTTAAGTTTCATCTAAGTTAAGCACGGTAAAACAGGGGTGAAGGACACGCATCGAGCAGCATTTGGAGATATGGTGAAGCAACATTGGCTCATTTAAAATTTAACACTTGATGTCACAAACTACATGCTCACTGGTAGGGATACATGCAAAGTACTACAGTCCAACTAGTTCAAACTTGGATTCTTACACTTTGTCAATTTGTCAGCCCACCATTCAAACTTGGATTCTATAACTAGTAATATCAGAAAAGGCAAATGGACGTTGAATTCTTACATTTTCAGAGTGAACTGATGGTTATTCATCCTTCCTTTTAGGAAATGCCAACTAGTTCACATTTTGTTTATGCCGTATGTAAAATGTGGGCGACACATCCTCAAAAAAGAAAATGTGGACAACAAATTGTGATGCGTGCGGCTGCACTATTTTAAGGCAGCTGTTGGAGACGCCGCTTTTTCGTGCCCAAAGAAAATCAAGTTTTAGTGCCCAAAATTTTTACTCCAACCATTTTTGGTGCCCTAAAATAGGGCTGCTATTAGAGATGCTCTCAGTTCAACATAGTGGCTTACTGCAATATATCGAGCGTGCCTCTACTGCGCATTGTAATTACTAGTAAATAGTGAGCTCGGAGTGCTGGAATGACAAGGGATATCTGATTTACATGTCCTACCTGCACCACGTGCTCTCTTTGGACAAGCAATGCAGCCTCATAATAGATCGCTTCCATATGACCACCAAGAATATCATCTTTGCCCATCACGGTACTCGTCTTCAGCTAATGTCAACTTCGTTGTGTGGATCTGCACCAAAAACTACATCACAACCCTATTTCAACTGCTAAAACATTGTGTTTGTCCACTAACATTTTCTAGGAAGCTTGTATCATCTTCTACAGTGTGTTGTAGAACAGAACATTTAAGCTTTTGCAATAAATTCGCAGAAATACTTCTTTTTTTTCTTTTCTTTTTTGCAGTGGAATTCGCAGAAATACTTCATGAACCAATGAATGAGTATAGCTAAAATGACAAACTTAGACAAACTTAAATCATTAATAAACAGAAAGAAATCTGTAGGGTAGAGTTTACGGATTATTATATGCGCACCTGAGGATCTGAAGGATCAACGGGATAGAGGCTGCTACCTTGTGAACTGATTGAAGACGCTAAAAATTTAGAACAGGCGATGTTGCCATAACAGCAGTGTAAACGGCCTATGTGATGGGCAATATAATAGGTTTCTGAAACGTGAAAGAAATCATAATGAGACTCCATCTTACTAGAAATTCAGTAAGCATTTCTGGTAAACTCCATCAATGACTGCATTCCAGACTGCAAATATATGGAGCAGAACTATTTCATGGTAAAAACAGGATAACTAGATATGTACCAGACCAAAGCAATAAAAAGAACGCCACGCGAATCCATGTATCTCAAAGCAACCACTCCCATCTTGTTCCCCATCGAGACATCACATATGTCCCTCATATTGTTGGTGCTTCAAGATTGCTGATTATAATTCTTTATTTTGTTGGGATCTTATCGTGAGAGAACATAGTTATTAAAGTTTTGTTATGCATACTCTCATGAGATTGTTATAATTTGATCATGGACTAAATTCCTATATATAAACAATGCAATGGTAAGTGAAGGGCTTGCCAAAGCCGTGGGTTCGATCCTCCTTGCCGCACAGTGATTGTTTTTGTCCTCCAAGCGTGACTACCACACAAAAAATATAATCGGCAGCATGGGGAGTCAACCGCACGACCTTGGGCTAAGGTGTCATCGACTTCTCTAGTAAAACATGAGCCATTGTGTGATCCATTAGGCATAAAGGGTCTATTTGACATGGCCTTAACATTTAAATTCAAAATTTTCAAAAAAATAAATGAACGGTCACAAAAAATTTCAGGAGGCAAGGGAATTTCCGGTAACCGGTCAGTTACCGGAGAAAAGAACCTTGACTCAACCCCATCTTGAGCTTCAAATGCGACACGAAGAAGTCCTTGGGGGTTGTCAATTAGTAATTTACTCAATACACAGGCAGCTTTAATCCATGGTCTATCTGTTCAGATAGATTCCCTGACTTCGGGCACTGAAGGTTCTACAGAAGAGGACATATCCAATGTTGATGGCCAGGAGCCTTCAGAAATACAGAAATGGTCTGCAGATTTCCCAGACATGCTTGATGTTTTGCTAGCTGAGAGAAGAGTGGATGAAGCGCTAGATGCACTAGATGAAGCGGAGCGAGTTACTGCAGACCGGACACAAACACTAACTACAGCTGAAATTTCGGCATTGAGAAGTGCCGTCTCTGATAATCGTCAAAAGCTGGCAGACCAGCTTGCTGAAGGTGCTTGTCAGTCTTCTACTCGTGCCATTGAGCTTCATGCTGCCGCTTCTGCTCTCAAAAGGCTTGGTGATGGCCCTCGAGCTCACAGTCTGTTAATCAGTGCACATATTCAAAGGCTTCAATGTAATTTGCAAACTAAACATCCGTCAAGCACTTCATATGGTGGGGCATACACTGCTGCACTTGCTCAACAAGTTTTTTCAGTTGTAGCTCAGGCGCTCAGTGATTCTGTGGAAGTTTTTGGTGATGAGTCATGTTATGCATCTGAGCTGGTTACATGGGCTACCCAGCAGGTCTTGTCCTTTGCACTCCTGGTAAAGAGGCATGTGTTGTCTTCTTGTGCAGCCGCTGGAGGCTTGAGAGCAGCTGCAGGATGTGTTCAAATATCATTTGGCCATTGTTCCTTGCTGGAAGCTCGTGGTCTATCTGTTTCTGCTGTCCTCCTGAAGCAGTTCAAGCCCAGTCTTGAGCAAGCATTAGATGCTAACTTGAGGAGAATCGAAAAGAGTACTGCTGCACTTGGTGCAGCTGATAACTGGACACTCACTTATCCCCCAAATGGTATTCGCCCATTAGCTAGATCTTCTGTTGCTAATTTGGCACTTCAACCAAAACTCTCAAGCAGTGCACATCGTTTCAATTCTATGGTTCAGGTAACGATTGATCCATTTTGATTGAGCAAAATGAATGAATCTTTCCTTCTTGCTGTTTTCATCTAAATGGTAGTGACCTATCCATCTTGGCATGCTTGGTACTGCAAAATATGGCATAATAATATTGTGTGTTCTACACTACACAACAACCTCTAGGTCCATCTCGATCCTTTCAATTACAGCCACTTGAACTTGTTAGGTGTTTGTGTGAGGTGGGAAATATGAGTTGGGATACCATAGAAGGGTTTTGTGTAGGGGATTTTCATCTTTTGTATGATTGGCTTGCTATTTCACTGGGACAGGGGCATGACATTTTGTGCTAAAATGACCCTTTTTAGAATCATGGCAAGCATCAATAATGTATGATTTTGCACTAATGTGATGCAACAGTACGAACATCGATCTCAACGAACTATTGAAACTAGACATTTTAAACCCTAAGCCCAACCAAATGTGGATTTGGTCCAACATGGAGCTCATGTGGCAGTTGTTCTTCTGTGTGGCATCCATGTGGACTTACCCACAAATGCTTGAGTTTCATAAAACACTTTGGCCAGTGGCATGGTAAGCCAGCATCCTTGAACTTGTTTAGAGTTCGATGCCGCATGCCAAGTAACCGCCTCAGACCTCACTCGTCCACCTAACAGCCATCGCTGGTAGACCCTGGACAGCTGGTGAACCTCAGGATAGAGGCTGCTACTTTGTGAAGCTCTTGGGCAGTAATGGATTCTGAAGGTTCATACGCAGCCCATTATCAGATTTGCTTGGCAAGCGCACACAAATATAACCACTGTGATTTTAAGTGATACGACAAAACCTGACCTGAAGATCATCCAGCTCTTCTCTCAGTGTCTGTCTCTATCATACCACTGGGAGCTACTCGAGTAAAATGTTCTGCATTAAAGTATAAGCGATAATACTAAGTTATTGGAGCATTTGCAAGGACCTGGACTAACAAGCAGACATTGCAACTTACAATTCATAAATCATACAGAATGGCACTAAAACCAGTATGGATATCAGATACACACGCCACGGTTTTATGAAAAAGAACAGGGGAGTGAGAAAGTATGACTTGCCTCGACCTTTCCTGGTGGAAGTAGCAGCCTTGACAGCAGCGCAAAAGTTGATGGTGGAGGAAGCCGCAGTTGATGAGGATGATGTCCTTACAGCCCCCAACGGCTCCGGTCATCGTTGAAGGAGCCAGGCCATGGCTGAGTGGCACTGTGGAGAGGTACTGCCACAGTTAAGTGATTTTTTTTTTAGAAAAGGAGGATGACCCCCGGCCTCTGCATCTGGTAGATGCATGCGGCCACTTTATTGATTATTCTCAAGGCCTTTACAAAGTATCACAACAATACGCCTGAATCCGCCATCTTAGCATCATATGCCCCTACGCCTATCCATATGATGAAGGGGCGCTAGCTGGGCCAAATACCCAGTCCACTCACCTAAGTCTATCATCAAAAGCCAGAAGCCCCAGCCGAGCCACATACCGGGTCTGGGGCAGAACTGGTCTGACGCACTCACATGTGTCGTCGCCGCCATCTTTCACTAGTCCGTCTTCAGAGCAGATATTGAGGCTTCTATCTTGTTAGGCCTCTCTGCCATCGACGCCATCATGACGCCAGACAGCAACCCCCTCCTGCGCGAGTCCAGCACCACGCATCGGGCGCCGAGTCTCCACTGCACCACGCCGCCGAGATCCGCCGTCATCAATGTGCAGGATGAAGCACCGCTCCACCAAAAAAACCGCTCACTGGTCCCTCGAACCCGTGTACGCCTCCAAGAATGACGCCCCCAAGAAGAAAACGACACCAACGCGCCACCGTCATCTGATCTACTGATCTAGGATTTTCCCCGGAGGTAGCGGATAGAGGTCTGGAGCTTCTCCACGGCGATGCCTTCAAGAAGGTAATCACACAAAAGAGTGCCGCCAACGCCGGTCTTGGCATCAAGCCGAGAACTAGGTTTTCACCCGGATCCGGTGAAGGAACCTCCATCAAGCATCGTGTGCACGGGTCGCCGCCGCGTCGCCACCACCACACCGGGGCCCCAACGCAACCGCCAGCACGACCACCGTGCCTAGTAGCCGTGGAGGCCCGGCGTCACCACGCCCGCCGGCAGCCACGCCCGGGTCTCAACCGGCCAGATCCAGATCCGGAGAAAGGGATCGGGACGGAACGGAGACCTCCGGTCGCCGCAGCCGCAGGCAACACCACGGGACGGAGCTCCATCACCCCCGCAGCCACCGCGCCATGCCGCCGCCGCGCCCTCGCAGCACCACGCTGCCAAGCGCCGCCGCCGACAGAGCACCGCGCCATGGTCAGAGGGCGGGGAGCCACGCTGAGGAGAGACCCCGCCGCCGCCGGCCGTGCCCGGGCTTTGCCCGGCAGTAGCCCTTGGCGGCGGCGAGGGGAAAGGGAGGAAAGGAGGTCGGCCGGTGGCTGGGATCTGGATCCCCCCGTGTCGCCTCGAGGAGGGACGCGGGGGTCGAGGGACGCGGGGTCCTAAAACATATGCATGCTCAGGCCGCCCCCCACAGTTAAGTGATAGATATCATATATTTGCAAAATATGCTGCTCCTATCACAATCCCCTCATTCTCAGTCCCATATGCTTTATAAATCATTCATACATAAGGGTGGAGGAAACACATGATTGGAACTACTAATTACTGTACATAAGTCAAGAATTGGTTACTGGAAAAGCGTCATCTATTGGTGGCAGGAAGGATATAGCTCGCGCGTACCCGCAGAAGCGACATCTATCTCCCAGTTCATGGCAGGATGTAGAAAAATAATTTTGTACTAGTATTTCTGACAATTAAGTCTCTTTCCGACAAGAGACCCACCTGCGGCCTCGCAAGTTTCACCTCTCTTTGGCGTTCCGGAGTTCTCCGCCTGGGGCTGGTGGCCACCTGCCCTCTTCCCACGCCGTGGCACGAAACCTAGGGGAGCCCCTCCTCCGGTACTCAGGGGTTCCGTGGGTGGCGGCACCATCGCCGGTCTGTCCGACCGGCGCCCTCGCTGGGCTGCAGGCAAATTTGAGGAACCAGTGAACGCAGGCCGGGGCGGAGCTAGCAGGGGTGGGGGGAGCGGGAGCACCTGAAGCGGC